TGATGCGTGTGAAACTAACTAGTTTTATTCCTACTTTTTTAATGTAAATTAGACACACAAAAGGCAGTGTACCTGTCTGTTGGTGGTATAGTTAAGCAAGCAGGGTATCGAACTCAGGGAACGGTAATTAATCTAACTGCTAGAAATATCTAAAGAAAACAATAGTAAAATAGAAGGATTTTCTCTAGTTTTACAAGACTAGAAACTTAACTAACACTTAAACTAAGCAACTAACAACTAAGCAAGCAAAAATTAACCAAATTCAATAGTAAAAGAGGCTTCTGTTTAGGTTCGAATCATTTGATTCTATGGTTGATTTTATGGTAAATGCAATGGATTAATTTTTCTTTGGCTACCGATTAAGGTGATTAGGTTCACGTTCGCTATTACTAGTCCTTAGAAAACAAATTAATTCAAGCAGTGACCAGTTGTCTAAATTAATGAATTTCCTAGTTTATTAATTCGGGTTAAGTAAGATTTGTAGTGGTTAATTAAATTGGTCGTTCAATTAACCTCTTGTTGATGGTTCGTCACACAAGCTCACACATTAATTTATCTATTTTCTAGTTAACCCTAGTTTCACATTCGCTATTCCTAGGCATATAACAATGTTCTCACATAAATCATACGAAATTAGCAATTAAGAGATGTTCATGCATCTTAATATGCTGGTTAATTAACTGAAAATAGTTGTAATTAACATATAAGGTTCTTTAACAAGCTTTACAAAACAATATCACCAAATTAAATTAATCCTAACCATAAAATCAATCCATATTCACAAAATCATCTACCCTAAATAGAAGACAAAGGTTTTAGTTCATAATTGCAGCAAAAACAAACTCAAAGACGAAATCCATTGGTTTAAACATGGTTCAATCAAAAGTTTAAATAAGAGTAACTAGAATTTGCCTTAATCTTCCTCAAAATCGAATGTAGGGTCAATTCTTCACTTTCCAGAGCTTCCACCGTGTTCTTAATCGCAGCTTGGCCGCCAAGGGTTCCAGAGAAGTCCTTGGTTTCGGGCAGGAATGTCATATTTATAGACTTCTGGAAACAAGGTTGACTCGCCGAGTCCAGGGATCGACTCGCCGAGTCCTTCATTAAAACTCCGTGTACGGCAAGGACTTCTATTGCTTCGCGAATGTTCGATCCGACTCGTCGAGTCGGGGTATTGACTTGCCGAGTGCTTCAAGATTTTTGACTTTTTCCTCTTTATTTACTTCCCGAGCTCCCGATTGTTATTTCCGCTTCCTTTTGCTTCCGAGCACTTCTTCTAGGCTGAAAATACAATTTAAACGTAATTAAGCACCTTTTGTTCCATATTTGCAATAAAATAGTCAAAAAGTATTAATATTCTATACAAAATATATGACTAAATATGCACATATCAGAGCTTAGCTCGATGACCGGGCGGGGCCCAATGACCGGACGGGGTCCGATAACCGGGTGGGGCCCGATGACTGGGCAGGGCCCGCTATATGTTTACTGTATGTTTGGTATGTGGTATTTTGGGGGAACTCACTAAGGTTTGTGCTTACAGTTTTCAGTTTATGTTTCAGCTACTTCTGGTTCCAAGGGGAAGAGCTCGGGATGACTGCATCGCACACACCATTGGGATTTTGTTATGATGTTTTACTCTGATTTATGACAAATTGATACATTGGTTTATTACAAATGTTTGGATGATATGGAAAATTACAATTTTATCTATTATTTAAAAAGAAAATTTTGGGAGCATATTTTTGGATGTTACAGGCCCATTACATGTTTATTTGTATGTATGGTATGTGGTATTTTGGGGAACTCACTAAGCTTTGTGCTTACGGTTTTTTAGTTTATGTTTTAGGTACTTCTGGTTCCAAGGGGAAGAGGTCGAGTTGACTGCATCGCACACACCATATGGATTCTATTTTCGGGACACTCTCTGATTTTCATGATGTTTGATATACTTATTTTATGGGTTGTATGAACAATGTTTTTAGAATGTTGTTTTATTCAAACTTAAAAACTTAAAATTTTTGGGTAATATTTTTGAGATGTTACAAATTAAATGAAAAAGAAAAATGAGTTGCTAAAACTATGAAAAAATCAAAGAAGCTGAGAAGTGGATTTGAGATGCAAATGTGGAGATTGATAAGCTTCATTTAGAATGAGACCGTCTAATAGATGTTAGAATTAGAAGAGATTATATTGACCGTGAACAAAATATGTATCCCTTATAATGTCCTAATTTGTGGAAACCAATATAAGTATGTATAGCTTTTGTAACGATCGTTTAACTAATGTTAATGAAAAGCATTTTCATTTTAGGTAACCCTAACATTTCTTTTACATAATTAAGTTTCAAAAGAAATTATAATACTAAAAATTAGAGTTCATTTACAAGATAACCGAGAACTTGCATCCGGTGCAAACTCACAGTGTTTACATGATTTTCAAACAATTTCATGTAGGTCTCAATTAGGCTGAACCCATTATCAGTTATTTGGACTCGTTCTTCTATTGTTGCACTTGTCTTGCATGCTTCTTCGATGATGTCCATTGTGTTCACAAACTATCATATATCTTCAGACATTGTACTAAGAAGCATTTGCATAGTAAACAATGCTAGTTTTCTATACTCCATGACCATAAAAGACGGTAACAAGATTTCCAGTATTACTATTCGTTGTTTCGTACGTTGATAATCATGAATCTATACTCCATGACCATAGAAGGCGGTAACTGGATGTTGAAAACTGAAAGTATAATATATTAAAATGTACATTATAAACCAACTTGAATAAACGTATCCAAAATTAAAGCGAACTTGCTAAAACGTATCCATAACAAAAATTATAAATTTGCAATTAGTCTATAATAATAGGTTTATCTAAACTTGCTTTGGTCCCATCTTTCAGAGTTCTATCTGCTTTCAATTTAAGTATTAACATTTTTCTGATTTTTTTTTCTTTATTTATAGGTGCCTTTGGTTCTTTGTTTATTTTTTTATTTTTATTTTTCTAACTCATCACCTTGGTTTTTTTATCTGCAAAAGAAATTCCAACAACGATATTAATACATTACCATACAAATAAAATAAAATATTTATTAGACATTTTTGTAATTCGATTTTACCATTATTGGGCGCATTTTTAAAAGCTCATGTAAATGGAGTACAATTTCTTCGTTTGTAAAACCCACTTTTTTTTAACAACATCCATGTGAATTGGTCTCCGGACTAATACGTGTTATTAAACAATATCAGACAAAAAAAATCAATTTTTATTACAGAGTGTTATTCCGCACATCATTCCAGAATTGATATTCGTATTCCAAATGTACACTATTATTTCGGATTTCCTAGTTGCCTTATTTCCTTATTAAAAAACTGGTTCTAAACACACTTTAAGATACTTATATGGCTCTATGTATGTGTAAAACGAAAAATAAAATTACAAAAATAGATATTCCAAAGTCTTTTTCGTATTCCGGACATGATTTATAGATTCCGAAATACAGATAATTGTTTGTAATCTCAAATTCTAGTAAACTAAAAGAGTATAACTCACTTGGTTTATGAATTCATGGTCAAAACTCTCTCCGTAATACAAGTAAAACGATCTTCGGAATTTCAAAATCTATAATGGTTATTCCGGATTTTTTAGTGTAAGACTTATATATATATATATAGATATATATATATATATATATATATATATATATATATATATATATATATATATATATATATATATATATAGCATTGGGCTACACTAATGAGTTTGACTTGTTTTGATTTGGTCCGGAAAAAAATTGGTTATTTTTGTTACTTAGAAACTAAAAAAGTGCTATTTTATTTATTTGTTGTATTAGTCAGTCGAACAAAATAAACAAAAGAATACGAACTTGGAGGGGACGACGTTGTTTTTTAATCATATTAATAGTGATTGACTTTTGAATAAGACGACAAAGATGATGGTTTAGGTATGCATGGTCCAGTTGTTGGATGTTAAAATTTTATGCATATGCAAGAGACAAACAAGTCCACGAGAAACGAACCCGAAGGAAAGAATACAGCCAAGCTACCAGGCAATGGGTACTCACAGATGTCTGTTCCCTTTCATCAATGGCGTTTTTGGTTCTATTCCAAAAGTCAACCCACCTACAATTTCCCAACTCTTCTTCTCGATCTATAGACCAGTACACTTAATTACCTCGTCATGAAGGCATCAAATATCTAATCTTTCTTTCTTCATCACAATCCTCTGAGACTGAAGCTTACACTTAGGTCTCGTTTAAGGAACTACTAACGATATATCAAAAAGTTAATCATTAAATAGTTATGATATCTCGTTTACGTAGTTACGATTTTTAATCCAAAAGAAAGCAGAAAATTACACCACGCTGGTCGAATCAGAACTACTCCTAATTTAGTTATTGAAGATTCAGTAACAATTTTTTGACTTCTAATAGTTAATCATATATATTTTGAGAAATTTTAAGTTATATATTGATTTGACATATTTCCGCTTAGCCTTAGGGTAAAGAGTTAAGACTTAAGAATCAGATTTGTTATCACCTTCGATAATCTTGGGCAATAAATGTGCTGATTTATCTCTCAATGTTGATCGTATGACTGGTTAATTTTGTAGGGTAGCGGAGGGGTAATGACTTAATGTAGTTGATTCACATGCCACATGCTGCTGCAAAATAAACATGATCCAAAACTGACCTTTCATGTTGAATATAATGGAGAAATTTTACCGTCTTCAGAATTGACCCTTTGACATCAACAACAATATAAATAAATAAAAAGTCAACTCATCATTGCTATCCAAGTCGCTTAAAGAACACTTGGTGCCTACTACAAAAAATAACAAAATCCTCTTTTATCTGCTCCACTCTCACTCACCTTCTCTCATTCTATAAACCTCTACCTTACCTTACCCACTTCATCATAAGCAAATATACAACCACCCCTTTTGGTTCTTCGTATTTAAATTGTCAAACCTACAATGAAGGAATCGGAGGCATGCAACTGGTCACAAGGGTTCGAAGATGATCTTCTGAGAGAGCTTCTTTATGACGAATCCCCATATGTTTTGTTGCCTCAAGAAATCGCTGGTGATCCAGATAATTACTCGGTAAACAATTTGATATCAAGCATATACTCTGGGCCCACAATAACGGATATTGGAAAAGCATTAGTGGCTTCAAGTTACACAAATAATACTCCCGAGCTGTCGGCATTAACCAGGTTTTGTTCTTTGATAAATGATAATCCTTCATTTCTTTGTATTATAGAAAACACATCAAATTTTTGTCCCAGTTGTTGTAAATATGTTTTCCTTTTACTTCATATTAATTGCAAAATATAGAGGTGCATATATGTTAATATATGTGTAACTATATGTATAGCTAGTTTGAGGTTTTTAATATAGTAGCTCATGCTTAACAAGTTCCTATGTGTGCAGAATTTCAGATATGGAGAGAGGAGTGTCCAGGGTTGAGAACAAGTATGTACTGAAAGTAAAATGTAGTGGAAATGTAATGGCCGATGATGGTTATAAATGGAGAAAGTATGGTCAGAAGTCTATTAAGAACAGCTCTAACCCCAGGTAATTAAGGATATGGTCAGAATTCTACTAAAACAACATATTATTATTATCAGGCATATAACATCATGCATTAATTAATTACCAATTTTTCTCATTTGCCTTACAAGATTATTCAACTTCAATTTTTATGTTTTATGTCACTAAGCTATCTAAATTTGTCACATCCAAGTCATTCAGTCAAAATTTGACCGGTTTATTTGGTTAAGATGCTAATATGACATTGATGTGACATACAGGTGACTACCATATGACATCTAGTACTATATCTCATCATTCTCATGAAAGTTCACGAAAAAAGGCATTGTTGATTTGTGGCAAGGACCTTCATAACGATGAAAGGAGTTGGTTAAACTTATAATTTCGAAACATAATCATATAATCATTTATTATAATAAAATAATATTTTGTTTATAAACGTAACTAATTCTTTTTTGCTGTAAAAAATACAAAAAATGTTTTTTTTATAAAGGTAACTAATTACTCCGTAGTTGCTTATAAATATTAGAATAGAAATAATGCTGTTTTTAAGATTAAATTTTAACTGGATAAACTATTAAATTGTTTTATTTTAGCTCTTAGGTTGAAAATAATTGGTAGTCTAATGATTGTTTAAGTTAGTAAGAAGGGCAGTACAATTATGGAATCCCTATAATTAATCCTTATTATTCTATTGAGTGCTATTTCATTGCTTTAATCCTTATTACTTTAACGATTTCGAAAAAATTGTAATTAAATGGTATAATTAATATTGTAATATTTAAATGACATTTTGTTCAACCATTATATCTATTGATAAACAAATACGGTTTTATGAATACAGGAGCTATTATAAATGCACCAACCCACGTTGCGGTGCAAAAAAGCAAGTTGAGCGATCGAATGATGACCCTGATACATTAATCATCACTTATGAAGGACTTCACCTTCACTACATGTACCCATTTTTCGTGTTTGGACAATCAGAGAATCCTGACCCACCTACTAAGAAGTTTAGAACGCTCAATTTTGAGCAAGATGCACATCAAAACTATCAACAACCAACCAAAGACATGGATGAAAACACAAGACATTTTTGTCTTGATCACCAACCACCAACCATGATAAAAGATTTTCAAGAAGAATCAATTGATCAAGAAGTAGCAATATGTTCGCAAGGATTGCTTGAGGACATGGTGCCATTAGTCATCCGGAATCCTATGATTTACACAACAAATTCATCGACATCTTGTTCTTCCTCTTCCTCTCATCCTTCTCCACCGGCTTCCCCTTGGTTTTCATGGTCTCCTAAATACTGATGCTACAACATAGTGTGTAATAGATAATATATGACATGTATGCAATAACGGAAATTGTCATTTTAAAAGTGTTAAGTGCCTTTACAATTGGTTGGTTATTTTCCATATAAATATAACGATTTTGATCGTATAAGCTAATAATTTATACATAACATCTGTTTTGTTTTGTTTTGTTTTTGTTTTGTTTGTTTTATTTTATTTTATTTATTTATTATTTTTACTTTTTGTGAAAGTTGGTAACTTTTGTGAAAGTTGGTAACTTGCTTTTATCAAGAGCAAATTACATATTTTCAGCATATGCATTAAAGGTTTTTTTGGATTTAATTTAATTTAGAGTAAATTACACATTTGTTACTCTTGTTTGCCCCATTCAATATATTAATCCAACCAATGTTGTAAAAAGCGGTATAGGCGGCCTAGGTGGCCTTTTACTGTCTATGATTAATATTAGTCGGTCGAGTTAGCAGAGTCGGTCCTGAGAGGCTGTAAGCGTTCCTAGGTGGCCCTAGGTGTTCTAGACGGTAAAAAGGTCAGACAGTCAAAATTAAAAAAAAATCTCAGATTAATTAAAATTTATGATATTGGGTGATTAAATTATGATGATAGATGAGTAAAACTGTTACAAAGATCTCCAATTAGTCTCAAATTACAATATAAGATGATTTAAATATTTAGACAACTAAATATGTCAAGATTTTATGGTTATTTACTTATTTTTTAGGATATGAGTAATATTTAATTTTAAAAAAATAAATTCTATTACAATTAAGGGTCTCCGCCTAGGCGTCGATAAATCACCGTTTGGACTGATTAGTCACTTAACCCTAGTCGACCGTCCAATCACCGTCTACGACTTTTGTGTCACAACTGGGAAATTTTGGAACCAACAAGGTCTAAACCCTAACCAAGCATAAGTGAATTCACAACATAACCTGATGCCCTAGAACATTAAAAGCCATGAAGAGCATGTTTTATATAAGTTATTATATACTTAAACTTTGAAAACCATATCATAAATATCCCCCTTTGAAAGTAAACAAGTTTAATAAAACGAGGCTAGTCAAAATGTGGGAATAGAAATCATGAAGTGTGAACTTTGTCTATTAGTATCTAGATTTAGTACCCCACCCACCCTAGAACACCCAAAACCGAAAACACACCCTAGGATGAACCTAGAACCAAAATCTCAATACATAGAAAGCACCTTGGCTGAAAACTACTTTAATGGTTCATATTTGGCCATAAACACCCCTTAGTGGACCATACTTGGCCGTAAACCCATCCTAGAGTCATTAGGACCGAAATCCCCAAGGGATGGGGTGATTTCGGTCACAATAAAGTGTTCCCAAGAAGGTTTATGGTCTAGAGGAGGAAACAGACAAAAATGGTTGACTCTAGGACTTGATATCTCACCTATTTCCAATGTAGTTCCAGTAAACCACACATTATCCAACAAATATCCATACTATAACCTCCAGATGTCCAAGCACATATCTCATCTTTCCTTTCATCCTTTACTTCGGCAGTAAACAAATACAAACCCCCACCAATTCTCTCATTCCCCAACTTCCCTCATTTTCTCTCTAATTATCCTCTCAAGAACAAGAGCAAGGTTTTGCTAAAGGCTTAACTCTTCAAGTTTCCTTAGATTTTGAGTAAGTATTTTCATAATCCTCTAGTATTTATATATGATTATATGTTAGTCCCACCAGTTTTACACACATAATTGTGTGTTGATATTGTTAGGATAATAATCATTTTTAGAAGTTCATCCACTCCAACCAAGTACCAAGCTCGAAATCTTGTTCTACTTATTCCAAATCATCCACCAAAACAAACCAAGGTAAGTTCATACCCCCATATTTTCAAGATTTTTCATGTTTTAGGGGGGGGGGGGGAATACAAGTAAAACTTTGTTTATCCCACAAATATTTACATGTTTTCATCTTATGTTAAAGATAAAATATTATTTACTTAAGTTATGATTTATACTGGTTTTTAGTATAAATATTTGCGATTTACATATAGCTAAAACAATCATAATCTATGTTATAAAATCATAAGAAAAGTTATGATTTGTAAAACTACATGGCTTTTGGGAACTTTTATTAAAAGATAGCTTTACTAGTAAAATTTGGTACATTATAGTCATTTACTAATCTAGTGGGTTTTAATACCAAAATACTATGTTTTGATTTCATATTTTCATGCTGGAATACACCTTTAGATTTATATAAAAGATCATATAAATAGTTTCAAACCAACAAGATAAACTATAATAGGTATAGTTTGGGGAACATTTACGTTATTTTACTCGTTTGGGTCAAAGGAATGATTATATAAAAAAATGTGATTGTATTATACATTGTAAATACTATAAAAGGATAATACATGTGATAACAAGGAAAAGATAACTACCACACACTTTATGTAAACTAGTTAATACAGGATTGTGAGCCACTCCTTCGTTGTACCAAACATGGTACCCGTTAAAATATTGAATTATAACCAGAGTCTCCTGGAGGGAGAGCATGAGTTTGTGTATAGATCTATACGGGATTGACAATCCCGCACCTAAGCTGCTTGCAACAGCTAGGCCGGCAGGCATGAGGTGACAAATGTCATAACTTTCCGACGCCTGAAGAACGTCGTACAGGCCATTAGTCATATTAGTATGGTTATAATGAACTCTCACAATAAGCATTAACTAATTATTTACGTAATGGTATATTTTCAAACAGTCTTAAAGGGGTATTAACTCTGTGATTACTTAGCATATACATCAGGGTTATATAATGTTAATGTACGGTAGACAGTGGAATGTGTGATTTCCGCCTCATTTCCTGTTCCTTGTTTGGTTGTGGGCTTAGGGTAGATTCACCCATTCGACTGTCTGTTCGGTCTCGATTTTTATATAACTCGTATGTACTAAGTGATCATAGAAGGGTATTAACTTCACATCTAGTTTACAGTGCAAACACGTCTTCATCTAGTTTTACTTATGAATAAAACTACGTATCATTAAATTAAGTATGGCAATTATACTTGTACTTTTCGGTCTTGGAATGTTTATGACTACAATTCGGTTTTATGGAAAATAAAAGATTTTCCAGGAAAATATAGGATTTTCCAGGATAAACATCATTATTTTACAAGCAAGCAGTTTACAATTCAACTTTCTAGAAACAAATACGATTACTTACTCTTCGGTTACGACCATTATTGTTGATTCTGTGATTTCTTAGTTTATACATCAGGGTTATATATAAATAATATCCGATAGGTAGTGGAATGTGTGATTTCCGCCTTACTTCCTGTTCCTTGTTTGGTTGTGGGCTTAGGGCAGAATCACACAATCAACTGTCCGTTCGATGTTTGTTTACATATAACTAGAATACACTAAGGAACCATAGTAGGAACCAATATGGGTCACATTGCTTATAAAATTCAAAGCGTCATATTTTATTCTTTAAGCATAAGAAACATATATATTTTGGTCTTAAGGCCTAAGACTACATTCAATTTTACTAAGAAAATATAGGATTTTCTGAAGGAACACACAAACATTTTCAAGGAACAAGAACTTATTTTCTAAAACAAAATGCTTATGAACTCACCAACTTAAATGTTGATAGACTTTCTAAATCACTTGTATTCTCAGGAAACTAGTAGACAGGTACACGCATAGGTTCGAGATGACGGAGCATAGTAACTTTAAATCTTTGTTTGGTATTTACTTTTGGAGTCAATCATATGTGAAACGAATACAATGTAAAATCTATATTATTAATATAATGGTTGTTGTTGCTTTGATTACTATTATACAATTATTGTGATACTGTACATGACGTCCTCCGCCCCCGAACGTTTCCGTCATTCCGGTTTGGGGGTGTGATAGATTGGTATCATAGCATTGTTTATAGTGAACTAGTATATCAAACTATACAAGATATACAACTATAAATACAATGGGACTAAAACACTCTGACTAAAATTATAATTTAAAAATATAAGTATTTTATAAAAGTATACATACTAGAACAATGTCATTATAAGAACAAAACAGAAGTATTCAGATGTTGGACACTACAGTCAAACCTGGACAGTTATGTAATCATATCTGGGATAAATATAGCTTGATCAACTATATTTATTTGATATACGACCAACATGTGTTTGGGAATGGTAGTGGTGTTGCAAAAAGTCTAAAACTTACCAACTCCACATGTAAAGGAACATTAGAATCAAACATATAATTAAAATACTATAGGAGTATTTTAGGTGCTATAAATAACTTATGTGAAAACTAGAAGACCCTTACTAGTAAGTCTATATAATTGCGGAGAGTATACTCCCAGGGTTATATATAATTAAGATTTTTATAGACTTAGAATTTGTGATCTTCGCTCTACTTCTTGTTCCTTGTTTGGTTGTGGTCTTAGAGTAGGATCACTTATTCGAAGGCCTACTTAATCTTGGTTATATATAATCTGTATACACTACGTGATTATAGGAGGACCCAGTAAGGATCAACATAAAAATTTTAATAGAGATACTTTTATTAATCTCATAGATTATTTAAGCATTCCTATTCTCGCAAGAACAACATAGGTAGATTTAGCCACTCCACTACAACAGTTAGCAGAAGAGTCGAGGAAGAAGCAGGAGGGGGTTCGTGAGGAGGATTTCGAGAAGGAATCAGACGAAGAGTAAGGAGCTGGAGAAATCATTAAGGAACCTTACCCTAACAAGAGCCGACATAAGAGGCTCGCTCGAACATCTGGAGTCGGGCTCTTCATTATGAAGTAATGGAGATCAGTGACAAAACTCGAAACATGAGGGAGCAAAGATTTAACATAGCTACGAGGAACAAGAACACCCTACGGATGCTCGGAGACAACGAAACTTTACAACTGAAAATAGGACAATCATAACAAGGGTAGAGATGCAGAGGAAACCACTCACGAGGCGTACGTGGTGGCAGAGCACTATATGCGTCACACTAATAACTAAGAAACTAATGTAACCTAGTGAGTCAGTGATTACA